CTGTTAAGGGTGATGGAAAAACTTGGTAACAGTTAATGATAGTTGAACAAGGCGCTGAACATATGTAATGTCTCTGAGCTGTACATGTGAAGATTGTTGAAATGGCAAATGTTTTGTTACTTATATACCATAATAAAAAAGTAAAAAAGGTGGGTATATTTTAATTAAGTCAGACTAAAAGATATCGAAAGGAGGATAGTAAATTACCAAATAAAAATGGTAGCTTGTAGTTCCAAAAGAACCCACATGCTTACAGCAGTGCCCCTTCCGAGGTGACACAGGGCATTTGGAGTTAAAGTTTTCCTGATGGGATGTAAGGAGGTGGAACTGTAGTTACATGCAAATGTGACCAGGGAGGATACAGACTTGGCCTTCATAGTGTCATTTGTTTTGTTTTTTAGTTTTGTTGTCAATATTTGAAAGTAGAAGAACAGATGAAAATCAAGATCTCTGATGTTCTTCAAAATTTTTGAAATATCTGACAAAACAGGGTCCAAATGACCACAACATAGCGATGGGCTGGGGCTGAGATGGCTCTGCCCTCATTGGTTGTTACTGTTTCCGGTTTGCCACAATCCCCTCCACTCCTTACTGTTTTACCCCAGCCAGCTTCATTCATTCACAATACCATTGGGGTCTCTGAGTGGACCCCAATAAAGAGCATCTCTTTTTTCCTTCCCCAGGTTCTGAACAAGCTGAGAAATAAGTGAATAAGGCTGGAGGCAAATATATGCCCTTTGTTTACTGAGTAAGAAGAGGTTGGAGGGTATGGCTTATATCTGCAAGCAAATGCCAAACTGGAGAATTCAGCTGACTTGTCAGTGGCATAGTAGTTAAGAACTTGGCTGTTAAACAAAAACGTCGGCAGTTTGAATCCACTAGCCACTCCTTGGAAACCCTATGGGGCAGTTCTGCTCTCTTCCTATAGAGTCGTTATGAGTCGGAATCGAGTCAACGGCAATTGATTTTTTTTTAATCAGCTAGATTACAGGCAACACAGAATCACGGCAGGCTTCCCATGTGATTGTTACAGCATGGGGAATCAGGAGAGCACAGGCTCTGCGCAGGGTGCTCCAAGAGGGAAAAAGGATAGAAGTGAGCTGCACATTCGGAGTTAATTCTTCCCAAAGCATGTCAAAAGGCAGAGAGGCCTGGAGTCGCACTCACTCAGTTCCCAGCACAGAGAGGGGGAAGAAGCATTCCTCGCTAACCTGGTCCTCATAGGCACTGGAGTTGAAGGTTCAGAGGAGATTTTTTTTTTTAGCATATCTAGTGAAGAACGCCTGATGCCATCAACATGTGGTGATTTTCTTCAAGGGGCTGATGACGCATTCTTGTTTGGGCTTGGTGATTTTTTTTTTTTTTTGGTCTTTTTTTTAATTTGTTTTTTATTGTACTTTAGGTAAAGGTTTACAGAACAATTAGTTTTTCGTTAGTCAGTACACATATTTTATGACATTGGTTAACAACCCCACGACATGTCAACACTCGACCTTGGAGGACCTTTTTTTTTTTTTTGGTAAAAATATACATAGCCACAGATACACCATTTCAGAAATTTCTACATGTACAGTTCAGTGACATCAATTATATTCTTCCAGTTGTGCTGCTACTCTCACTATCCTTTTCCAAATTATTCCATCACCGTTGTCTTCAACTCACTGTTCCCTAGGCTTCCCATCAAACCTTTTGAGTTGCTGTTGTCAATTTGATCTCACATAGATAATTTTTTTTTTTTGAGTAGTTTTTTTTTTGAGTAATTTTTTTTTTTAATTGTACTTCAGGTGAAGGCTTACAGAACAAATATTTTCTCATTAAATGGTAGTACACATATTGTTTTATGAAATTGTTTAACAACCCCATGACATGTCAACCCTCTCCTTTCTCGACCTTTTTTTTTTTGGTGAAAATATACATAGGCAAAGGTACACCATTTCAAAAATTTCTACATGCACAGTTCAGTGACATCGACTACACTCCTCCAGTTGTGTTGCTATTCTCACTTTAGATGAAGGTTTACAGAACAAAATAGTTTCTCATTAAACAGTTAGCATACATGTTGCCCTATGACAATGGTTAACAACCCCACTACACGTCAACACTGTCCTTACTCAAACCTTGGGTTCCCTATCACCAGCTTTCCTGTCACCATCTGCCTTCTAGTCCTTGTCCCTGGACTGCTGTGCCTCATTAGTCCGGTTTTGTTTTATGCAGCTGTCCAATCCCCAGCTGAACCGTGAACCTCAGAAGTGACTTCATCACTGAGCTAAAAGGGTGTCTGGGGTCCATGCTCTTGGGGTTTCTCCAGTCTCTTTTAGGCCAGTAAATCTGGTCTTTTTTTGTGTGCATGAGAATTTTGTTCTACATCTTTCTCCAGCTCTGTCCAGAACCCTCTGTTGTGATCCCGGTCAGAGCAGTCAGTGGTGGTAGCTGGGCACCATCTAGCTGTACTGGACTCAGTCTGGTG